ATTATTATTATTATTATTATTATTATTACATGAAAGGAAATTCAAATGATATCACGGAGAGAAATTTTTCAGCAGCTAACTGATGGCAAAATAGATGTCATTCCTTTAGTTACTGACAGAAAGAAGAATTGTAGAAACATACCAATCATATAATTCCAGATATAGAAAACTAGATAACATACAGCATGGAGCTTTATTAGATGATGCAAACTGTTAAAACTGTTAAAATATCTCATGAAGCAATTCATCAACCACTCTTAATTGTCTTATTTTCAAGAATTGTATAACAGTTTTTCATCTGAATGGAGTATTAGCTTTTGGCAGTACTTTGACAAACATTTTAAGAATGAGAAAGTTCTACATGCTGCAAGGTTTATTACTGAAACAATATATCTGCTTCTAAAACAGCATAACAGCTAAGTCATTAAGCATTTAACTGACTGGAAGACTATGTCTTTTGATAGCATCCTTACAAAAGACATTAGCATGATTCTAAAACCAAAACCACTTATGCAATACTTATGTTCTTGAACATATCATGACAAAAGCAAATGGTCTACCTGAGCAGGTACGTTTCAGATTTTCATTGCATGTATATATTTTTCCAGTTTAGGAAGTGTTACCACAGGATTTGCATTTCAATACACACTACCAAGCTTTCCAAATTCTGCATTTGTGAGGCCTGCTTCCTTGTTAATCTAGGATTTTGTTTCTGTATTCCTGCTCTGCCTTTCCATAGAAAACATCATTCCAACTTTGTTTTGCTTATTATGTACGGTACTTCTGCTAAGATAATGGCAAAGTCTTGTACAATATTAAATTTAATATAGTTTTGATTTACACTAAACTGGCAGTCCTTCTTTAGAACAGCTCACACTAACCCAATCTGTCCTTCTCCAAAAGGGCAAATGCATTTACAAACTGACCTTGGCTGCCCATCTCCTGGAATTCTCCTGTACAGAAATCTTCAGTTTTGCCTTTATGTTCAGTCACAGCTCTCTTCATTTCCTTAAGAGGGGGGGGAATTATGAGTGGTAGAAAAATAAATTTGAGACTGTAAAGGGACAGGTAGAAAGCTTGTGTAAACTGAGAAAGTTTTACTGTACATTTAGAGTCAGATGTGTTGACTATAGTCATAGTCAGATTATGAGACTCTCCCTCAGTGCATATGCGTCTGTCCCTGGCTTTATTCAAAGACCCTTTTTTATCATGCCTGAACTCTCTCAGTGCATGTACCATGTTACAGTAAGTTGCACTGTGGAAAGACTGTAGTGTCCATGGACCTGCTACTAGAGTCTGCCAAATATACAACTTCAAAGCCCCAGGAATAATATTTTAGTATGTGTTACTAGTATCGACCATATTCTCTGGTTCACTGATTGATGGAGAGGTGTACATAGTCACGTGGGTTTAATTGGCAGGTCTCTAGAAATGGCTGTCTCATAGTTATAATGGTGATTGGAAGGGCATTGAAGATCTGAAGATGGCTCCACAGCTGAAACGTTATGCTTTGTTTTTTTTATTTCAGGAATAAACCTTTACTTGTTCCTTTGCAGCCTACACATGTTGATGCAGCTACCTGCTTGAATTTCTTCTACAGGAAATATATATATAACATATATAACATAATATATATAAAAAATATAATTAAATGTTTCAGAATGAGTCTTTAAAAAAACAATCCTCTGTTTGTTGATTTATACAATAGTAATTTATACTGTAGTTCTCACAATTCTTTAACATGGACTTTGGTCTTTTTTATTTTTATGTAAAGTACAATCACTAGCTGGATCTGACTTCTCGCAGTGTGGTTCTAACGTGACATACGTGTTATATTAGACAGATCTCTTCTCGTGACGAAATATCTAATATTTATTAACTTCATTGCAGACCAAAGATGTTTACAATAATGTTCACTTATTCAGCTCATAAAAATGTGTAGCAATGTTCACAAAACTACAGTATAAATTTATAACATACAGAACTTCCTCAGCACCATTTTGAGTGCCTTTCTGAACCATATACTGTACAGCTTCTGCTTTTGCACTGCGGAAACACCTATAGTCAATCAATAAACAGTAGTTTCACCAGCAGTTTTCACATAGATGACCAGACCACAGCTCAATCCCTTGCTATTAACACAGGGAACAGAAACATTTGGGAACTGCATCCAGCAATTTCACAGTTTCACAGTTTTGAGAGCACATCTGATCTCAAAAGTTAAAGAAACATGAAAATGAAACATGAAACATCTTACCTGTGTCGATCCATGTTCAGTCTTTAAAAAGTTTATATCATGGCCCCTGTGCTTTTGCTCTGAAGATAGGTTGCAGGCGAGAGTCTGGTTAGACTTGAAGAATAGTATCAGAGTTCTGTGGTGCTGCTGACATAGTCTAAGCTCCTGGTTTTCAGTAATCTCCACCTGTCTGGTTCTCTGCAAGGGTGCCACTGCATGGAGTTGATGGACATGTACCATATAATTGTTCAAAGCAGTTTTCTCCATTTTGCAGAAATAACAGGCCACATTTCCTGTCTCTGTACAGCTAAAAGCAAAAGGGAATATTGTTAAATATCTTTACCTTTGTACCTGAGTTTGAAAGATTGGATCAAATTCTTAGCTAGAGCAACATGATCATCATTCAGCAGTCATGGAAAGAAAGAAAGAAAGCAGAAAACCTGTTGCAGGCCACCAATTGTGTACAGATCTGTTCTCTGTTAAAGCAGCTACATATCTTTATTAAGAATGTAGATTAAAAATTAGATTATACTAATATATGAATATTGCTAAGTGATTATCCTGTGACACATTAGGTCTTTACAGGAAGACTGAGTTGTTATAGCCTCTAAAGATTTAGTTGCACATATATAATAATTCAAATAATAGGTGTAAATTTTTCAATAATTTATAATCTCACTACAGAATGCATTTTCCTTATGGAAAATGACTAAACGAAGTAAGAATTACATCAATAAATTTTTGTAACTGTAATAGTTCTTGGGGTTTCCGTCCTTGTTGCTCCTGCCCTGCCAACACGTCCCTCAGTGCCTGGGCACAAACCCGAGTCTCCAGCATAACGCAACAGGGAACTTGCCAGCTGAGCTAAAGGAGAAGTCCCTCAACCCGGGTGGCTGAGATCCCTGTTACACACAGGGGTATATTCGTTACATAACCCACATAGTGACATTACAGTTGTGATTACAGCTTTTAGCAAAAGTAAAATATTTTAATTATTGTAGACATTTCTGCTTGGTACAGCATGCTGAGTTTTTTTATTTTAAAAAGTTCCTTTTGTTCTTCCAAAGCAAGAAATTTTGAAGACCCTTCACACATAATCTACACATAACGAGCAGACAAAAGCACTCAGTCAATAGCAGTATCCTCACCTAGGGTCAGAGTCTTCATTTCTAAATGTTATTGGTCTTTCCATTGAATGATCACTGCTCATTGACACACTTCTGGGCTCTGGTGACACTGGTTTTCCCAGCTTGATCCTGTAAACAGTACAGACATCTTTCCTTTAATCTTCTTTCTCCACACCTGGACTCTGAGCTGAAATACTGTTATGCCTTGAGTTCCCTTTCAGAAACATATTTGTTCATTTTTCAGTTATCTTTAGTTGCCTAGATGTGCAGAGATGGCTATGCGGTTATTGGTGGCATCACACAGTCCTACTGTTTGAAGATGGTCCTGAAAACCATGTTTTCCATTGAAGTGAAGGGAGAGCATCAGCAGTCAGCCAATAGTGTAGTCATTTTTAGCAGCTGCATTACCTGCTAACCTTGCAATAAAGGCAGTTTAATAGCATTAGTATTTTTTCTATTAACCAATTCTTATTCCAAACATTCTTTCCCAAAATATTCATTGCATGTAATTTGAGAATTAATCTTTAATGAGGAAGTCCAGCAAATATCACTCTGCAACTCACAACTGGTAACCCACTGAAGCTAAGCAGGTGTGATCCTGGTCAGTACGTGGATGAGAGACCTCCTAGGAAAAAAAACTAAGGTTGCTGCTGGAAGAGGTGTTAGTGGTGCCAGCAGGGTGTGCTCACCCTGTGGTCCATGTCAGTCCTAATGCCCCAGAATAGTGACGGGGACACTATACTGTAAAATAGGCACCGTCCTTCGGATGAGGAGTAAAACTGAGGTCCTGACTCTCTGTGGTCATTAAAAATCCCAGGGTGTCTCTCGAAAAGAGTAGGGGTGTAACCCCGCTGTCCTGGCCAAATTTCCCATTGGCCCTTACCAATCATGGCCTCCTAAAAATCCCCCTCTATGAATTGGCTACATCACTCTGTTCTCCTCCCCACTGAGAGCTGGTGTGTGGTGAGTGTTCTGGCGCACCATGGCTGCTGTCGCATCATCCAGGTGGATGCTGCACATTGGTGGTGGTGGAGGGGAGTCCCGATTATCTGTAAAGCGCTTTGAGTGGAGTGTCCAGAAAAGCGCTATATAAGTGTAAGCAATTATGATTGATTAATTAATTATTATTATTATACCTTCTACTCTGCCTTCATTTTGTAGTACTTGTAACTGCTCCCCCTGTTGGTGGCTTGTGTGTATAAATTTAAATATACCATCTTTATGTTCTTTGTATGTTCATTTGATGCTTATTCAAAAACTTAAGCAAGAACTTACCTTTTCTTAATCCAAATAGACTATATTATTTGTACTCCCTGTATCTAATTTCCACCTACAGTACACTGTCCTTTAAATGAATTAATAAACACATTGAAAAGGGTACAAAAATATATTTAAAAAATATATTGCAGAATGTGCTAAGTTTTGGCAGCACTGTGGTGTAGTGGTTAGCATTGCTGTCTCACAGTGCTGGAGCCCTGGGTTCAGTTCCATATCTGGGGTGCTATGTGTGTGGAGTTTGTCTGTTTTCCCTGTGTTCATGTCAGTTTCCCCCGGGTGCTCCAGTTTCCTCCCACAGTCCAAGGACATAATGGTAGGTTAATGGGTGTCTGGGAAAATTGGCCCTGGTATGAGTGTATTTCTGTCTGTGTTGTACCCAGTGAGGGACACCAGTGTCCCATCCAGGGTGTATCCTGGATATAACTGGACAAAATCTGACTACTAGCACCTAAAACCTGTAACCTCACTGTTAGAGAACTTCACTCCATCCAGATCATCTTTACCACACTCTTCCTCAGAAATAATATGATCAAAGACCAAAACCACATTGGGAATCCACTTTTGCCTCTTCTTCCTTCTGGCAGAATTAGCAGTGTAAAAGCCTGAACTTCTAGGATACTTCACCACAGCAAAAAGACTCCTCTTAAATTCTCCTACTCCCATTCACTTACACTCCTCTGTTTTTGCACTAAACCTAAAATACTGCCACTACTTGAATTTGCAAAATTCAAAATGCAAAAAGACAGATTCCTAATGCAAGAAATTGTATAGGGCTAATAAAGAAACATTAAACACTAATGTTGCTCACTGCTATCTGAATGCTGCTTAAAATCATAGCTGCTACCATGTTCCTGTCTCCAATAATCTGTGATGTCATTTTCTATGTCAACATTGTCTTCTTTTATGTAATTTGTTATGTCATTTGATGAAAACATGCAAGTAAGTACTTACAGTAGGTACTGTACATATGAAAACAAATTTGAACCTGAATGTGCTGATTGAGATTTCTGGATAACATTTTCTGACACTTTTATGTACTCCATATTACTTAGATATTCTCTTACCTTTGCATCTCAGGGTCCATTGCTTCAAAAGCTGCTTCCCCTCTTGAGGAAGAAAGGCCTGGGCAGAGCAGACAGGAATTTGATCCAGAACAGCACAATCTGCCAACACACAACAGAAACAGTGACACTCCAAAGTGTATTGCTCATTAACAAAACTATCACACTCTCCCCCGTAGTACCATACAGGTACATTACCAACAGTGATACATTCTCCCCAACTATACTACACAATTACCTTGACATAGTCTCTTGCAGCATGCTTCACTTTAACAGAAATACCTAACTGTTCATAAAAACAGTGAAACACTCTACTGACTATACTGCAAAATAACAATTACCATTATCTGCCTTTTCTTTTGAGGAGTACCAATATACACAGAGGTTATCATTGCCCCACACCACTGGATATCACAGAGAGGGAAAAGGAGAGTTTGTTCCAAGTGTCAGTACAGGAAAAGACTGTGAGATTCTGTTATAGAAGACAAATATACTGCAAAGTAGTGTGAGTGTAGGCACGTTCTATCAGAGAAGGACCCTGGACCAGGTGATAGGGGGGCGTACTACCAGGAAGGAAAGGAATGACCTCACCCTGAATCAGTCCTGCCACAGGGAAGCATGAAGAATTCTTGCATCGGCACCTTCAAAGTATCACTGGAGCTAAGATGAGAGGAAAAGAATCCAGGCAGAGTGGGCAGTCAACCCTGGAGAACATTTCAGACATATATTGCCATCTCCTAACACCTAAGCAGAATGGCCAGAATGAAAAAAATGTAAAGTCCAGGTGAGGTTCAAAATGTCAAAATGTCAGGGCTTTAAAACTCATCTTTAGCCATAGGGCACTCCAGAGAACAGAACATGGGGAACAAGCAAGACAGCCTAGAAAAAAGGAAGCACTATCTCACTACAAACTTGAGAAGTTCCCCACAAGAAGTATGAAGATAAATAACAGGACATGATTAGACAAAGACAAATCTCTCCATAGAACTTAAATTAACTCAGGGTGTCTTAGAAGACTGCATGTTATTTACTGGAAGCTGGTCATGGGGGTCATAGAGTCTCCCGATGTAATAAATCTCCAGGAGCATAAAAAACATTTTAACAAGGGGGCATAAGCTAAGTAAAATACAAAAGAAATGTGTCTGGAGATAAAAGAACCAAATAGAAAACAAGAAAGGACAAAGTATTTAAGTGTTAACAGAGACAAATGATGGTTGTTGTAAATGCTTTTCTCCAGAACGCTGCATCAGACACATGGACCAAAGTCTGTTGTTGTGTTATAGTTTGCTGTTGTCCTGGTGCTAAAGTGGCTATACAGAAATTATATTTGAATTGTATAAGGCAAATGAGGTATGAGGTTTAAGGCACTCAAAAGTTAAATGTGCACCCTTATAAACACCGCATTTCTCAATTGTTTCATAAAGTATTACACATACAAGTGATCTCCAATTTCCTACATTTGTTTTTGCAATAGTGAAACTGTCTTCCTTAGGCACCATACCATTGATGAGATATCATTTTAGAAGTCCTGTTAGTTCTTGACAGTTTTTCCAACTAGTGAGATAGACTAGCTGTGCATCTTGCTGCTTTGATAGGTGTCACTCACTGAAATGACAGTAATGTCAACAAAGGAACAAGTAAGAGGTTTATTCCATGTTTTGGCTGTGAAGCCTTCTTCGGGTGTTAGAAAGACAGGACAGAGATTAAATAGCACAGAAGAACAAAAGCTTGGAGAGGGAAGGAGGAAGGAGGGGCAGAGAGGCAGAGAGGCCACTCAGGAAGTGCAAAGTGGAGAAGGGTGAAGAAAGGTATGAAGTCAAAACCTGCATGAGAATAGAGAAGATTACACAAAGATAAGTTGGTCATTGAGAGAAGGGGGTTGGTGTGAACCTAGTTTCTGGATGAGTTTCATTTCTGTTGTTTTTCTGCTATTGGAGTTGAGAAACCCTTTTTGAGAACAGAGACAAAGAGATCAGTGTGATCATGGCCGTAAATATTGATTTAAATCACGTTTAAATCGACTTTATTTAAAACCCATAAATAAAGCTGATTCTGTTTAGACTTTTAATTATTTAAAACTGTATTACAGCAGCACAATGCACAATGCAAAGTAAATTGCTATCGTTGTCATCTGTGTAATAATGTTCACCTCTCTGTCCAATAATACAATAATACTATT